ATATATATATATATATATATATTAATTAAAATCCTGTAATGGCAAAGCTGAATTCTCAGCTTCATTACTCCAGTCTTCAGTGTCACAATACTTCAGAAATGTTCGAATATGCTTATTTTGTGCTCAAGAACAATATTTTTTATTATCAATGTTGAAAAGGATTGTGCTTCTTAATATTTTCATGGAAACGGTGATACATTTATTTCAGAATCCTTTTTTTAAAATAGAAATTATTTATTTAAGAAGATAAAGAAAAGAAAGAACGAGTAAAAAAAAAAACAAGATTTTTTTTTTGTCAAGTAATCAATTTGAACTACTGCAATATTTTTTTATAAGAGTAAGAGTGATTGTGTGCATATTTGAAATAAAAACATTGCAAAATTCTTTGCAAATAGTTCAAATTGATTACTTACTCCCTTAAATCCATTTAAATCATTTATTTAATATTTTCTTTGTAAATTAATACATTTAAAAATTTGAGAAAATAATTTTGCAGTTTTTTAAATAAATGCATAACATATACATAAACTTATACATAATTCAAAATGGCAAAATGTTTCTCGTCACGTAGGCTAAATGATTCACTATATTTTTAATTCAAAAAGGTGAAATGTGACAAACAAAAAGTTTAGTTTACATCGCTTGATATTGGTTATTTAACATTTCTATTGTAAAATGGTTGTCAAATATCAAATGTTTAGCTACTTACATCTTACCTCACACTCTTTCAACTTTATAAACTTAAAGAACAGTAAATCCTGCCTGCCTTCTTTGATTTGATTAGTCTTAGTCATTTTGTAATTGACAAGCACTTTTAGACCGCTGAGGCAGATCAGCCCAATAATGTAACTTTATAAACCTTTTGTCATCCTAACAACAAACAAAGCATTATCAAGAATATCAAATATTGGGAGAGATCATTTGTCCATTTTTAATTAGTGGGAGTGACATGTCCCCCTCAATATCTATGGTTACGGCCCTGCATTGTCCGTCATTTTGTTTCTTTTTGACAAGCAAAAACAAGATCTGCAGAATCCCATACTAATTTTCAGAGCAAGTGATGCCAGCTTATGCAATTTCCTTCTGTGTCCTCTCAGTCAAAACGGAATGGGATGGGTGTCCATGATGGCTCAGTTTGGAGCGATGGTGGCCCCCATGGTGCTTCTTCTTGGGGAGGATTCCTCATGGCTACCTGGTTTTATCTATGGAAGGGCTCCAATCATCAGTGGGATCTTCGCCTTCTTTCTCCCAGAAACCCTTGCACAACCTTTGCCCGATACTATCCAGGAGGTGGATGACAGGTGAGTTTTGTGCTAGTTCTATCTGATCCACAAGACATGATTGCAACTGATGTTGCAAGAGAATGTTGCGTCAAAAGTTAAAGTGTAAGTGACATGAGCGAAGTGTCATGTGTAAATGGATAACCATAATGTTGTTTTTTGATTCTTTCACTTATTACAGAGGTTTTGTATGGAAAAAAGACAAAAGATTACCTGAAAAAGAGGATATGGCCAAGAAGGATCCCAGTTGTGTCCACCTGAAAGAGTCTGTCTGAGCCGGCCACTTTACTTCGTCTGAACACACAAACAGAGATGATCATTGCCATACAGAAGAGAACTTTAGTATTAATATGATGGAAACAGCCAAAGGTTATGAAGGAGTTTCCTTGAATTTCTTATTTTTCTGACTGTAATTAATATGTTAAAATTATTATTTACTTGTACAAAGAGAGAAATAGTGCCTTTAGAAATATTTTACTGTTATATATATATACAGTATATATGTGTGTGTGTGTGTGATTTTTTTTTTTGCCTTGTTTTATTACATGAATGATGCAAAGAAATAAAGCAACAGAGAACACAAATTGTAAAAGATTGGGATTTGTGTTTGTTTTTTTACTATTTATTAAATCTTTCATGTGTAGTCTTCTGTAAAATGCATCCATAGTATTAATAAATATCCATTATTTTGTAAAACAATTTCATGTTACTCTGTCATGCTTGTTGCAGCTTGTTAACACTTGGCACAATGGTTGATTACATAATCTCGCAGGCAGATTAAATTATTTTGTATTTAAGTATTAAGAAAGTCAGTAAATAAATGAGTGAAAATTTCATATGTAGAAACCAAAGCTAGTTTGTCAAAAGGGCTGCATCTCAGTAATACACAAATGTTTGTGGTTTTTTTATTTTCTATATGCTGGTTTCAGGAGTTATTTTATTTTATTTTTTTTAATTACGACTAAATATCATTAAATTAGGACTTTTTTTCAATTACGACATTTCCTCAGTTGTTACCATTGTAAATCTTCCAAATTTTTCATAAAAAAACCATTATAACACTATACTTTGTGTTAATTCAATTACCATGGTATTAAATCACAAAACTTAGTAAACACTTGATGAGACTGCAGCTTCTGTGAACCCCAGAAAAAAGTGAAAAAAAGGGCCCACTGTCACAGATTTATAAAAGCTTATGTCTTGAGCAAAGAAGGGAACATGTGTAGATGAAAAAATATGGTTTGTAAATCTTCCTTCTTCACTTTCTTGCCAAATCCGCACTGTCGTTTTTAATACAAGCATTAAAAAAATACAAGTTACTTACTTTTTCACTGTTTCATGGTTTTGTGCTTCATAATTAAAATACTGTTTCAATGTATCTGAAAAGACATTAAATGGACTATAACGTTTAATTACAGGCTCCCGATGTGGCAACTTAAAACAAACAGTGAGAAATAAGACAGTGTGTTAACAAAGGTTCAACGTGTTTTAAAGGGGTCATATGATGCTGCTAAAAAGAACATTATTTTGTGTATTTGGTGTAATGAAATGTGTTTATGCGGTTTAAAGTAAAAAAAAACACATTATTTTCCACATACTGTACATTATTGTTTCTCCTCTATGCCCCACCTTCTGAAACGCGTCGATTTTTACAAAACTAATCGGTCTGAAACTTTTATAAAGAATATCTCTTTGGATTTGAGACTTTAGTCTTTGCAACTTTACAGATCTTCTTTATGCACCAAGAGCTTGTAACACTCCAAAGAGAAAGGAAAAAATGAAATTGCATCATATGACCCCTTTAAACAAACTGTCTTTTTTCCCCCCTAAGGCTGGAAATGTATAATAAAAAAAACGTTTTCAAGGCAAGACTGTGTCTAGGTATATGCATATAGGCCTACAGAAATTGATGACTTGACCTGAAAATTGTGAAAACTAGGACAATTATAACATTAAGAGGTGTTTAATTGTCTTTTGGCACGGGTATGCATAAAGCAATTGAAACTTTTAAGAAAATACTGCCATGGTTCACCCCTAAAAATCTGTCCCAGGTCATGTGCATTTTGGTGATGGCGTTGCCCTTAGTCCTTACTAGTTTAACAATAAATATCTTCTCATAGTACGCAGACAAGGATCTGAATGAATTACTTGCTCTATTGCGTCAGCTGGCACAGGTTTTAAAAGGCTCAACTGGCCAGATTCGGTTATGAAAGAAGTAAAAGATTGTTCAGTGACCATTTAACTCTCTCATGACGAAGACACGGTGTCACTGTTATAACAACTACACGAATGGAGTGAATAATCTTAATAATGTATAACGTTTGTCGTGCAAGATTAATTATTTTTTAACAGTCTAACTAAAAATGGTTTATGCGCAAAAACTACAACTCCCATAAGTATGCGGTTGTTACCCATGAGCGCTTGCTGCAGTCTTGCCACATATTCCGGTGTCCTTTGCTTCTTCCTGTTCATTACGCACTCGATTTCATAGCATCAAAATGTCTGGACTTCTGCGGGGAATCGCTCGGATCCGCACCGCTCCGGTTCTGCGGGGATCAACCATCACCCAGCGAGCCAACATCGCTACGCGCCCTGCCAAGGATAAGTTTGGGCCCGCTGTGAGTATCCGTAGAGGGCTGGTTGCTCACTCTGCAGCTCGTGAAGGGCAGGCCATGATCTCCTTGGCATTCACCTTTAGACTCACTGTGATGATCGGAAACATAGTCATAAAATTCAGTTTAGTTTGTCTAAGCCAGGTGTTGATTATGAATAGATCATATCTGTACTTCCGCATTAGTTTTGGACTGATGGGGTTTGGGGTTGAAACGGTAACGTTAACTTACCTAAAATCTTCTCGGCCGATCGCGGTTGTACGGTCGTGGTGTTGACAGGCGATATCTCCACTTTTTATATCTCCAAGTTATTTTCCTTTAAAGAGTAACTAAAAAGTAATGTAACACTCGTCTTAAAGGTCATTTTGTTTATATTTCGTGCTATTTAAGAAACCGCGGCCATCGCAGATCAGCTTCCGCTAAGAAAAATATTGCATTAACAACTGCTGTCAATAAGACAATACTGCAACAGTTATGTATATAGTATTAATCAAATCCAAGTTAAAATTTATTTTTATATATTAATATTTCTCTAAATGCAACTGTTTCTGCTCAACATGCCAAAATGAATACCTTAGATCTCAAGCGTATTTTTTTTTATTAGTTTGTTGTCTCAATAGCCGTTTTAAGTCGCAAGATGGCACCAATTAGCTTGCATTTATATCTGAAGACAGAGACTGCGGAGTGATAGCAGAGATAATAAAATAGTACCTTTATGTTGCCATGAACAGTAAAAAACCGAAAGCTCTAACAGCTCTTTGGTTCTTGTGTCTGTTTTCACAGGAGACAATAATTGGTCTGACCGTATTTTCTTTTACCATCCTGGGACCATCTGGGTGGGTTCTGGCCAACCTGGAAAACTACAAAAAGAAGGGCACTGCTGAGTCTGAGTGATCCACCGGTCATGGACTGCAAGCAGATCGTCTGGTTTTATTGCTTTTAACACCTTGGGACCACCATTTCACAGACCTCCAGCTTACCTAAACAGCGGAACAGCTTCTCTCCTTTGAGCCACCCTGCTACCTCTCCATGCGACCGTTTACTTTCCTCCAAACAGTCCGGTCTTTGTTACACTGAGCTGTTTGCTCCTTGTTACCAACTGTGTAATAACATGTAACCATGGGTGATTCAGTTCTCCTTAACTGGAGCTGTTACATTTGAAATAAACAGTTATTTAAATCTTAAAATCTGCATCTCTCCGTTTCCATAACTTTTTTTGACAATACTGGAAAAAAGATATTGCTTTTCAGTAGCTTACACGAGGCAAGACACCAGTAACAAACTTGCATAGATGATTGATTTAAGTGTCATCTTAAAACAAAAATATAATAATAAACTAAAAGAAATACATTACACCTATACATCATTTTGAATATTTCTGGAAAAAAAGGCTAAATAGGGGTAGGTGTGTGTGTGTGTGTGTGAAATAATAGGTTGGCATTTTAAGGCCTTTTTAAATCTTGCAGTCTAGCAATTAAATGAATTAACTTAACCCAATAACTCTAAAAGACTTGTACATAAAATATAAGCTTAATGTTGATTAACATGTGTGAGGGAAATATTTTGTATAATGGCCTCAGAAGGAGTCAAAAGTGTATGTTCAATATAGAATGTTCAGAAAAGTACAAACTAAGGATGCTCAGATCAAAGACCATGTATCTATGATTAAAGAATCTATACTTACCCAAAAAGCACTTAAAACAGTAGAACTAACGGTCATATGACAAACCAATGACCAGATGAGTATAACCAATTACAGTGAAGAAGACTTGAGTGACATTGATTTTTACTCAACTATAAGGTATAAATATACATGTTCAGGGAGTCTCTCTTGGTTGTTGTGATCAGTGGGCTACTGGCCATGAATAAACTTTTTATCCCTGCAAAGAGCAACTTGGGAGTTGTGTCTGGTCTATGCTGCACAGCTGAAGAATAGGAGTACTAAAGCTTCTATGCTCAGAGGAGCACAGCAGAGACAGTGCTAGTGTTGGAAAACTATAGACCCGCACTCGGGGTGAGGCTGTAATACTTGGAGTTAGTATTAATGATCCTGTGTCGGACCAGCGTATACCGGAGAAGGGCGGTGAGAGTGTATAGATGCTAAAGACCTGGTGCTCATGTGTGGTTTGAGGTAGTGATAGTAACTTCTTGACGGGACGCCATCACCATACTTCAGTAAGGGAAGTATTGGATTGTATTGAACTGGTACTGTAGTATTGTATTGCGTTATTGACAACTGGAGGTTGTCTGTATTGTCCGCGGTAGAGAAGTCAGATTTGTTTTATATTAAGATGTATTCATATTGAGAATGTCCACGACACATGCTTAATCAAATGTTGCATATAGGTGGTTCTCAAAATAAGGTCACACAGATACAAGTCACTTAAATTTTTTTTTTTGTCATGAAAAACATTTCAAATATTCAAGAAGCCCCATATTGGTGGCTGTTTGCAATCATCCCTTACAAAATGAACCCAGGTTTTACTACAAATAAAAATAAAACCAAACAACCATGGTTACTATAGTTAAACCACGGTAACCACAAATTAACCATGGTTTTGCTACACTAACCATAGTTTAACCATGGCATTTGTAGTAAAACTGTGGTTATACCAATGGTAATCAATTAGCCAAAAAACAATGGTTAATTTTCCTAAGGGATGGCCTGAACATTTTTAATTTTCTCCTTTTTTAACACACCTGATTCAGATCATTGACTAATTTTGGAGAGAATCCCATTAACTGAACTGAGTGTCACATGGCATCATTATATAACTTGACATTTTATTAACATATATAACATTTTGACTATTATTTTACATGCACACATTCAAATAAGTACACGGTACATATAACCATTTAGCCTTTATCTCGGAAACATTCAAAATTATTTAATGGTATGTATGTATTTGAGTTTGATATATTTGTGTTTAGTAAATGAATCATCTATGAGAGCTTGTCATCGGTGAAAAAAAAGTTCTTAATTATTAGTAATTATGTCAAAATTTATACTTACCACCAGCTTTTATGGGAGAAAACCGAACTCAATTCAACCCATTCAGACGGGCAACCATTTTAACACATGTAAAACGAGATATTCAGGTAAAGAATCTTAGCCGGAAGTGGGTTGATCTCCAGCGGTTCCAATCAATCAGGTGACCGGAAATGACTTCAGCAGGAACATGGCGGAGGAGCAACAGCAGGAGATCTCTCAAAAAGAGACTGATGGTGAGAAGTACTTTACCCCAACTTTGCCGGAACCAGTGTATGTTTATATCGGTTTGCACATGCCGATGCTGTTTCGAGCTGTGTGAAGCGCATGAGTTGATTGGATGAGTAGCCAGCGCTTTGCTAACTTGCTAACAACAACAGCTGAGAGTCCATTGTTTATGTTTTAAAGGACTTGTTTCAGTGTCCAGATCTTAATAATATGTTATATACGGTCATTAGCGTTATATAAACATTTAATAAACGAAAATGCTCCGAAGTGTGACACAAGCGTTTTAAAAAAACACTGCACTGTGAAACTAACGTAAAAATACCATTACACTCGTAACATCAGTAATAATGTTTATGTCTGACCATGTTCAATTATGGTTTTTGCCAGTTTTCAAGTAATTGTCAAATTTTACACTTAATTGCGTTTGTTCTTTGACAGGGCTGAATTGTCTTGCACATGATGAAGCTATTATTGCACAGCAAGATAAAATTCAACACGAGGTAACTGTTGAGTCATTCTCTCAATAATTAGTATTTTTGTAATGTTATGGGATGCTTTACACACACTTTGGTCCTCTAGAATAAAAGGTCTTACAGCAATGCACTCAACAAGTGATGTTTTTGCTTTGGTACAATTTAATGAAATGTATTAATATCAGCGTTGTTATAGTTTAACCCATCCTGAATGTCACCGTAGATATCGACCAGTATTCCTCTGGTGTCAGAAAGACAGGAACTTTCTGTCCTTAAGCGAGAGTATGCTGACGATGACACCATTTACCAGCAGAAGATAAGAGTAAGTGAACCATTACAATAGAGAATGAATGTTAATGGAATGTTATGCATAAATTATTATGCACTTATCTTTATCTTTTATCTCCATTATCTAGTCACATACCATAGAGCTAAGAGAGCATTAGTTTATTTATGCATAAATATGTCCAAGGTTCCCCATCTCTGACTGTTCTTTATAACAATTTAAACTGTTTTGTCAACAGGACTTGCAGAAGAAGTACTCATCTATACGCAAAACACGGCCAGATGGGAACTGCTTCTACAGAGCCTTTGGTTTCTCACATCTGGAGTCTTTACTTGAAAACAGCAAAGAATTACATAGGTAACCACCTGCCAGCCTACGTTCAGCTGAAGTGAATGAACACTGTTTATTCCTTTGGTTGAATAAATGATTTCTACTCTACAAAACTGAATATTAAACATTAAATCTGTTCTAAACGACACTGACTGTTTGACATCACACACTGTTTTCACTTTCAGTGTTGACAGACAAACTTCTTGTTGCGTCAAGCCTGTTAAGATCATTTATGTGAAAGTATGAGGAGAAGATAATGGTCTCAAGTAGCTTCTGTATCCTTTAGTACGTTCCTCCAAGTCTCTGTTTGGTTATGTTCACTTGGCAGGTTCAAGGCTATAGCTGCCAAGAGTAAACTGGATCTTGTGAGCCAAGGTTTCACAGAATTCACCATTGAAGATTTTCACAACACAGTAAGTCTTTAGATGAGTGTGAACTAATGTTTCTGGCATGTTTAACATTTGGCAATGATTCGTTTAACTCTTACTGATGCAGCGTGTAGCTTCTCATTCCTTAAAAATCCATTTCAGAAGATGTACCCGTATCCATATTCCAGGATGACAATGACAAGATTCATTGGGCTCAAATTGTGAAATAGTGGTTCAGCGAGCATGAGGAATCATTTTCACACATGAATTGGTCACCATAGAGTCTTGGCCTTAACCCCACTGAAAGTCTTTGGGATGTGATGGAGTCAGCTTTAAAGAAGGGTTTGAGTCTCCCATCGTCAATACAAGATCTTGGCCAAAAATGAATGCAACTCTTGATGGAATTAATTGTTGTGATGTTGCATAACGTTGTTGAAACAATGCCACAACGAGAGCACATCCCAAAAACTTCAAATAGGGTTTAGGTCAGGACTCTGTGATGGCCAATATTTCACATATTTCATAACTTGAGCCTAATGAATCTTGTCATTGTCATCCTGGAATATGTACATGGGTACTTCTTCCGACATGGTTGTTTAAGTAATAAAAAGCTACACACTGCATCAATTAGGGTTGAAAGAATTGTTGCCAAACATACAACATGCTATATACAGCATGCTATATTAATCACTGCAATAAAGATTCAATCTTCAACTCTTTAGTATTTGCTTAATTACATTTGTGGCCAGACATTGTATATACTATTAGTATTTATTAATATTTCAAGTGAGTTTTTTTTTTTATATTTTAAGGTTTTATTTTAATTGTAGTTTAAGTGAGTCATTTTGTTGATTTTTGACATTTTTACACATTTCTATTTAGCTTTAATTCAGTTTGTTTTAGTCATTTTAGTACTTATGAAGTACTTCAGTACTTGTGAAGACATGTGTGACCAACAAAAGATTGATATGTTACAGCACGACCTCTTAGCTGAATTAAAAGAACTTTAAAGCTGAAGTTTTTTTTAGCATCATTTCACTTAACTAAATTTTAATAGTTTTAGCTTACGATAGCAACACTGGAAATCAGATCAGTCCTGCTACTTTGTGTTTTTACAATACAATTATGTATGAAAATGCGTACAACATTTGAGGTCTCAAAACTCCTGTTTGCCTTTTTCTCCGATTTCATCATTATTCTTCCAGTAATAATCTTAAATGAGTTTCATGTATAATGAATTTCCTCTTGTCTTGTTCACTCCAGTTCATGGACCTGATTGAGACTTGTGATAAGCAAGTGTCTGTAGGTGAGCTGCTCAGCTCCTTTAATGAGCAGAGCGTTTCCGATTATCTTGTCGTCTATCTGCGGCTGGTGACCTCTGGGTACCTGCAGAGAGAGGATGACTTCTTCCAGCACTTCATAGAGGGCGGCCGCACCGTTCGAGAGTTTTGCCAACAGGTGACACTGAACAACACATCCTTTCTGACTTGTGTCTCTTTGTTGCAATTTTGAAGATGTGATTAATTTTCATCCAGTTCTTGTAGAGTAACCTGGTCTTCAATGACTTTGCAACATTTTAAACCAGCATGTCAATCTGTTTTGGCCAGGAGGTGGAGCCCATGTCCAAAGAGAGTGACCACATTCACATTATAGCTCTGGCTCAGGCTTTAAATGTGTGCATCCAGGTGGAGTACATGGATCGAGGAGAGGGAGGAACAGTCAATCACCACATCTTCCCTGAAGACGGAGAGCCCAAGATTTTCCTTCTCTACAGACCGGGCCATTATGACATCCTGTACAATTAACAGATCTGCACCTAATGCTGCTAAGGCCTCGTCTGTTTCTGTGCTGTGGGTTTGACTCAACTCTAAACCTGTGAAATGTGAACACGAGAGCCCAGCACTCAACATTGCAATTTCCTGTCAAAACCCCCTCAAGACTCTTGGAGAATTTTGGAGATTTTGTTATAACAAGCACTGGACATTGTACAGTTTTCTTTGAATAACCTGCATCACTTTTTTTTTGTTGTATGTACAGTATATGGTTATTTCATTTAGTTGTGTGTGTGTTTTTTTATTTGTTTTTTTTGGCTTGTTGCTTGTAGTTGAAGACTGCCCGTCGTTTATGATAGGGATGGAATTGCTTTACCATGTTTGGCTGTATTTGACTTTCATGAGAATAAAAAGAACTTGCAGTAGTCATAGTTTGGATAGCCATGTTATTGTTTAATGTGTGTTTAAAAAAAATCCAAAATTGTCTTTTATTTAAATAAAAAATGGTGTGTCCATGCTGCAATTTAAGCAGGACATGCACTGACAAAAACCAGCATGGTTCCTCTCACAGAAGAGCGATGAAGGATCTTGCCCCATCACCTTTGGCCGGCAGCACTTCCACAGAACCACAGAATGAAGGAGGGATGAAGACATTCGGGTCCTCGATTCCTTCCACTAGGTCAAAGAAGCTATGGAAAGAAGAAATGGGTTAACAAATCGTGTCCAACATACACACATGTATGTACAGATGCCCTATATTTAAGTATTAATGTTTAAAATGTTTACTCCGAGACTGTTATATTAAGGTTACATTTGTCCAAAAAAAGTTTTTTTTTTTCATGCTTGAGGAAATCTTGTACAGCATTCATGAAGCACACATTTTGTTTTCTTTATGTGCATGCTATTCTTGCATGAAGGCGGCCTTGATCAGAGGAAGAGGAAAGGCAATGTAAACACGTGTAATTGGTTAAGAGAGTCACCTTTGCATAATCTGTTCTTCTTCATCAGTATACTACAAATGTGGTTAGGTTAAGGACAAGATTGCAGACTTGATTACAAGAAGTATTATCCATGGGTTTTGGGTTTTAATGAAAAGCAGAGTTAAACATGGTTACAGTATTTGTATGGGACGGGCCAGCCTTTGTCTGACCAGTCTACTTGACTAACCTTGTCATTGTGGTTAATTCCCCTTTCTGTGTGAAATCCAGGGTGTAGAGAGGCACACAGCCAAACGCAGTGAAGGTCAGCAGGTAGATTTCTGCAAAGAAAAGTACAAAGAACATAAGCCAACTAGCAAGAGAAGTTAGAGAGCAAATTTTACATTGGTTTACTCAACCTGAAATGATAAGCAACTGAAAACAAACCATATTTATTATATATCCATATATCAATATAACACTATGTAACTTTAGTTTAGGGACCAATTCTCACTATTACCTAGTTGCTTATAAGCATGCATATTACCATATTGCCTGTGTATTATACTTACAAAGCACATATTAATGGCTCATTCTGTGTGATCATATTTTAGATTCCTTAATTCTACCTCTGACGTAATAACTACATTACTATCTACTAATAAGCAGCAACTTAATTGGGTTTATTGATGTGTGTGTTTTATTTTTAAACTGAATTGTAAAAGTGAATAATTTGCTAAATCAAATGGTCAGCTCTGAAAAGAAGACAAAATATAGATGTATAGAAGTATAGACCAAAAACGGAAGACAAAATTACATCAGACTATTACAAAACTATTTTTCATAAATTGAAATAAAGCACAGGGATTTTTGAACTTGGTTAAAATCTCTCCATCAATCTTTATTATTTATTATATTTAATTGTTTATTATATTTAATATTTGTTATAATTATTTATTATATTTAATTGTTTATTATGTTAATTATTACAGTGTGAAAATAGTAGTCTTTTAAGTTGAAAACAATGAGAGTTTAAAAAAAGTTTAAAAAATGTTTATGTTTTTATACATTTGTATTATAGCCTGGATGTTAAAAACCTGACTGAGATTCATCATGCAGCATAATGGCGCACATTACCTTTTGTTTCCTCCACTGTTCCATTCCAGTTATTGACCAGCAGTCCTTGTCCTGGTATAGAGCTGCTACCCAAGACCATTTGATTCAGGAAATGGGCATCATGGGGAACCCCAATATGTCTGAATGGTTCCTTTAATGCTGTCTTAATACAAGTTTGGTTGTGGTAGTGGATCTCATAGCTGACTCCCTGTGGAGAGGAGAGCAAACTATTAGCAAGAGTCCGCAACACAATGCCCAGTGATGAACTTTACAAAATGTATGTTTTGCTATTTATCCATAAACTGTGGTACTTTACCTCTCTAAAGAGCAGAAGCCTGTCAACAAAGAAGGTCTGGTTGCCTTCCTTTCCAGCTGCTAGAACTCTGATATTATGTCCATAGGCATCATAAGAGAATTTCTCAAAAACACGTAAGTGGTGCCCAGGGATGAACTGTGTTGGAGGGAAAGAGAGAGAACACTTTCACATAACTCACAGTTAGCATTTGCATGACTTGAGGTAGTTTTCGGTAGCGATAAGAAAACTAGTAAAGGAAGTTAGAGAGCAAACTTTATATTGGTTCATTCAGGCCAAAACAACAAGTTTCTCTGATGAAAGATTTTTTTTCTCTCGGACATAACAGTTTAATATTCTTGTCAAGATGGCCCCTTACCGCGGTCAGTGCCCCCTCAAGCAAAGGTGGAGACTCTGGAAGTCAAGAGAGAGTGAAAAGGTTTATTTAAACTTCTCAAAGAAGCGAGCATAAATTCATTTTTGTTCTTTCAACTGTTAAAGCTCTATAAAGTTCACTATAACGTGCAGGCAAAAGACAACAGGTCAGGAGGTCTTACTGCAGGGTTCAGGCCTCTGTGCAGAGCTGCTGAGAATCAGGCTCAGGCAAACTGGGATCAGAAACAGGATCTTCATCGTAGAGTGCTGACAAACAGGAGCCAAAGCGACTAGCAGCAGTGTTTCCAAGTCCGGCCCTTCTTATATCATCAGCTCCGGATCTTCATTCCATGTTTTCAGTCTTACTCACACTGGGCCTTCTGGGTATCTAGTCAGTGCTTTAGTTCAATAGAAGTCTTAAAGGTGGTAAAACTTAACTGTATGGAATACTTGGAATTTCAATCCTAATGTAAGAGCAAAATAGAAGGAAGACTGGACAGAAGTTCCAATATAGGAATACAATACTGTCAGGTTTCTCTGGAGATGATGGGTGACAGGTAAAACCTGAACTGGAGTAAAATTCCTCTTAGTCACATGATAAAAACTCATATAATGATCTCAGATTTGCTTGCCACAGGTCAATGTTCAAGTGCAGGTGCTAGTCATATAATAATTTACAGTAATAATTTACAGAGAAAAACAAGATCATCTGATGATGTTAAACACTAAAATAAGTTGTTGCACTTGGAAAAAACTGTCAATTTGACACATCTGATGATTTTAACTTTCCAAAAAGGATATACCTGCTAAAAAAAACAAAAGAACATCTTAAATTATCCTAAGAAGATTTGTTGATCTCCCTGCCTGGTGCAGGCTGCTGGCTTGCTGGTTTTGGGCTTGTTTTAGTTTTGGGCTAAACCCAAACCCAGCTAAGACCAGCAAATCATTTTATTATAATTAAAAAAAACACTTTTTCAGCAGGGACCCTGTGTTCACAGCTCTTATTACATGGTTTTCTGAAAGACTTGATTCTAATTGGTCAATCACAGAATCCAGCCATCTGATATTTCCCAATATTCACTTGCTGTACCAAAAAAAATAAAAGTAGCAATGAAAACAAAGAACTATATACCATAAATGACAAAAAAGCAACACTTCTGACATCCTAATGTAACTTAAATACCTGTGCCATTCCACTGCCAGCATAAATAACATTCTGACTGCTGTCCATCTGAAGTTTAATGGGGTAAGTAAGGGTGAATCAAGCCTCAACACGTTGAACACATTTTAGCGACTGCACAAGGCAACATCAAAGAAAACACTTAAGGGTTTAGTGCTTCATTTATAGAGTTCTCGTGTTCTCATGTACACACATTTCCCTTTGACATACAGATGTATACAGTCTGGATTACTGTTTTGATTACTTCTTTACTACAGTCAAAGTACGACAAGCACGGCTCATCTGTCAGGAGATCCATGCAACTTACATGACCTGCGATGTGGCTTCTTTGATCACAGAAGCTGGAGACGGTTACTTATTGTTGAGTTCAAGAATAAATACATAGTTGAACATAATTTAGTGTGATATTTTCTTTCGTTCAATCTTTTGCATTAAATGGCCTGTAATTACAGTTTATCTGAATTCTTGGCAGGATCAGAGCATTGTATTTAGGGTTTTAAAGCTGGAGTCACCTGATTTAGCACAGATGAATCCCACACATTTTATTTCATTTACCGTTTTATTATCGTGGACCTTTGAAGTTGCAAGAAACGCTGTTGACCTCTCAGTGCACTATTGTGTGCTCAGTGAGTGAGATCATTGGCAGAGTATTCACTAAGGAGTCATTAGTTAGATGTGGACTTTTCCTCTTCTTGCTCATTCAAACGCCGTTATAGCCCTTGTGCTGTTTTTAAAATTTTTGATTAAAAAAGAAAAGCAGACAAGGAGGGTTTAAAAGCAGAAATGTAAGGTTTGTATTTTTGTTGAAGGTAAGTTTGCCGATTTTCAACTAATTTTCAACCTGTGTATTACATTGTCGGTAGTGTTAGTAAATGAACAAGTTGTATTATTTTGTCTGTGTTACCTGCACCAAGATTGTTTATTTGTAAGTAAAAGTCTGCTGGATGACATAAATTGTGTCATCTGGCAGACTTTTAAAAAAGCTCCAGGGCAGATCTTACTTCCACATGTTTGTATCCTTGCTCATGGATAGTGTAATTGAGCCAAGTGCATTATGGGTGTTTAGGTTTTGCTACTTTTTTTTCACCATAGCACTTTTGTATCAATCAATTTTTTAAAAATCTACTAGACAGCCAACTGTTATTAAAAACCCATCTTGCCAGCAGTGAATCGTCCCTATAAAGTGCTTTATTAAAGGGTTAGTTCATCCAAAAACGAAAATTCCAAATCACTCTTTTTATTGTGCGGAACATAAAGGAAAATATTACTGGGAAATGTCTTACTTTTGGAAG